TAAAAAAACTTTTATTTGCTTATTTTAAAAAGAGCTATCAGGAGGAGAGAATAAAAAATAATATTTCATCCACTGAATCACTCCCCAAAATACACACAACGGCAGGGAGTGGTCCAGGCTAAAGTCCAGAAGCCAGAACTCAGTCTGGGTCTCCTCACATGAGTGGTAATAAGCCAGCTACTTGGCCACTGTCTGCTGCCTTTTAAGGACACTAGTAGGAAAACGGAATTGAAGCAGAGGTGGATCCTGGTCTCAGACACTCCAATAAGTGAGGTATGTACACTCAGATGCGTACAACGCGCAAGGTTTGGTATCCTCTCTTCCTGGCATCCACAAATCAAAGTCCTGTGGAGAAAGGGAGGCAGGTGCTTTATAGTTCAAACAAGTGATTGGTGTTGGAGATTACAGGTGAACAGAGCATGACAACAGAAATGTAGGTATGAACATTTGGAAGCTCTAGTGAGCAGGAAGTGGAGCTGTATCTTATCTAACAGCAGATTGGCCGCCTAAAATTTAATCAAAAGCAGGATTGTCAAAGTGACTTTGTGCCATAATTTGGATGAAGCCAAGTTTGAAAAAACTTAATTTGAAAAAACACAGGCAAAGAGCATCACCCAAAGCAAGTAAGGACTCACATAATGAAGATTTCTGAAATCATAAATCATATTGCATATCTGATCAATTTTCAAGAAACTTCACTGAAATGGCTTTCTACATGGTACTCACTAAATTTGTGATAGTTTTCCATATCAACAAAGATAATTTTAATTTTAAAAGGTGATATTAAATAAAACTAATCATAAAGCATAGCATGTTTATTTGGGGTGGTGGTAATAAAATAATACTATATCAACCCAAAATAATTTAGTAAGAGTAATAACAGCATGACAAACTTAGAAAAATACAATATGAGGAGGAATACTAGCAAGGTGTTGTTCTGATCTATGTATTTAACATGGATGTCCAGATATATTTCTACGTACACGCCCCACCACTACCCACAGTCTGTTCTTTCTCGTTTGCTATTACGGTTAATATTAGGCAGTATCTTGTTTAACTGTGTCTTAGCTTACACTGCACTGCTTTTCAATCACTCTACAATTCCTACAACTCTTGTTTTTCTCGGTTTTCCAAACCTCTGATGGTTAGAATCTACCACCTGCCTGCCCTTTGCAGCCCCCCTGAAGCCATCTCCCCATCCTTAACCTCAGTCGAGTCCCAAGAAAGGATTTAATGTGACTCCAATGCCCAGGGTCTCCCTTATTGTCATTAACCAGACCACAACCTTGTGCTGCGGCTCTGATAGCTCGTTTATTATTCTGATCCTTAAGTTCACTTCTCCTTATTACATCTTCCATCTCTAGCCCTGGGGTTTGTGGCTTAATGTCTGACCACGGTCCGTATGTGACAACAACACTGCTTCCATTTAAATCTTAGGAATGCCTTCCTGTGACTATGAAAGGAATAAATAGTTTGTTTTTGTTTCTTGCTTGTGGCTCCAGGTGATTTTGCAAAATTTTAGAAAGCTGTTCAATATCAAACTTTTAAAAATAAAATATTTCTCAATCCTTGGTTTTTACACTACTGTAATCTATACAGATTTTATAATGTATCTTAGTATTATTCCATTTTTGTTTTTTTAAAAGATTTATTTTTCTTATTTTTTTTTTATTGGAAAGGCGGATATACAGAGAGGAGAGACAGAGAGGAAGATCTTCCGTCCGATGATTCACTCCCCATGTGAGCAAAACGGCCGATACTATGCCGATCCAAAGCCAGGAGCCTCTTCCGGGTCTCCCACGCGGGTGCAGGTTCCCAAAGCTTTGGGCCGTCCTCGACTGCTTTCCCAGGCCACAGGCAGGGAGCTGGAAGGGAAGCGGGGCTGCCGGGATTAGAACCGGTGCCCATATGGGATCCCGGGCGTGCAAGGCGAGGACCTTTAACCACTTGCGCCACCGCGCCGGGCCCAGTATTATTCCATTTTCCTTTATTTTATTTGCATATCATTTTGACTATTCCTTATGCCATAGGAATTTGCAGTGTCAAAAAGTCACAACAGTCTGCATGACTGAAAATATAACTTGGAGAGAGTTAAATGTCTAATATTTTTTTAAATGGATCAAATACTACTTTATAGAAAAAAAACAGATAAATAAATGTGCTTCCTAAATAAAATTATATATAAGCATATGTATAAATAAGTCTTGTTCTCTAATTGGGGGAATTGGGAATTATTTTTTAATATCATCGTTTACTAGTCCATTTTCCATAATTCTATTGGTGTATGCCTATATGGCTTTTGTTTTGTTTTTGTTACAACAAGAGTAAAGTGTCATATTGGAGCTCATTCAGGGTTCTTATTTATAAATAGCTTATGTTTCATGTGGCATAAAATCCAAAACTTCCAAGAGTGTACTGAATATTATAGGGTATCCTTTAATCAGCTGCCACTAATGATCCAATTTATTTAAAGGCTTTGAACTTTTGAGTTCCTTTCTTTCAAAGTGTTGGATGAATATGATCTATTGTCGTTCCATTGAACTTAAAAGTCTGTGAAAAAAAAATATATATATATATAATTAGAATGCAGTCATTGTTAAAAAAAAACAAGCTATATTGAATTAGAATAGCTTCTTTTGTAAAATCAGCACATTTGCATGAACAGTTGTATGTGTTTAACTTTCCATGAGTGTCCTCTTTTGTGCACACAGACATGCATACATGTGCCCTCTTCATCCTCCGCTTCTTATTTCTTCCACTTTGCCCTCTTCCTCATTAAGATGAATCAGTCTGATATGACAAGGGAGAAGGTTTTGCTCTATGTTCTATGCGTTACTGAGTGCCTCAAATCTTCCGCTATGTGAAAGAGAGCAATTCTGGGTGTTATCTCCTAGGAGACAGGCAGGTAAGCATTCCCAATCTGGCTTCTCTAGTATTAGCTCAACAGCCAGAGGGACGTTTCTTTTCTACCAGTTGATTCCTAGTGTAATTTCTTCCAGTTCCTTGAAAAGTTGCTATTTTGTTGCTGCGTTTCTCTTCTGCATGTGCTTTAAAGACAAGAGCTTTAGTTGCCTATGATCTTGATCATGTTTGGTTTGTATCTTCAAGAATTTTGATTTATAGTGAACCTCCTTTCCTTGTCTTTTTTGTTCTGTCATTTCAGTGTGATGCAGGATTACACAATGGCTTAGCCAATGGCTTGAGTCTCCCAGATGTCTCTTCTTCTATTTCTGGCCCAGTTTTTAGAAATTCTTTCAGGGAAAGAATTGTTTGAGGTTTCTCTGACTTGTGTTGGAATGTGAAAGTTTCTTCCCCCCACTTTTGCATTTAGGGTTAACCATTATGAAATCATTGGTATCTCATTGCTCTCCTGGATGCTTGCACTGACACCTTTGCTTGACAGCTTGCATTGATGGACCTTCACAAGGTGTTGTCATACACAAGACCAATTACTAATATAAAACTGAAATATTTTTATGTATTTATAACTTCATTTATAGATGTATTTTTATAAGATATATTTTTATATTAGAGAGTCAAAGTTACAAATGGAATAGCAGAGAGAGAGAGAACGAGAGAGAAAGAACAGAGAGAGAGAGAGAGAGAGAGAGATCCTCCGTCCACTGGTTCACTCCCCTGCAATAGCTAAGGTCAGGTCAGCCTGAGGCCAGGAACTTTGTGTCTCACATGAGAGTGGCAGGGGTCCCACCCAGTACTTGGGCCATCTTGTGCTGCTTTTTCAGGCCATTACAGGGAGATATGTGACATCAACTAGGACCCATATGGGATACCACCATCACAGGTGCTGATTTTTATAAACTGTACTGGCCCCCATGTCAGTGTCTGAAGATATATGTGTTTCAGGGGCAGAAAGGTAGGGAATGGGAGCTCCATCGACTAGCGTGCTCCTTAAATGCTCACAGTTACCTCTTACTGGGTCCACCATCAGGCCTCAGTCCAGATCTTTCACATGCCTAGCTGGAAGCCAACCAATTAAGTGATAACCTGCTGCCTTCCATCATCTGCACCCTCACTTGGAGAACTGTGGACAAAGTTGGGCTCTCTGAGATGGGATATGCCAACCAGTATCTTAAATGTCAGTCCAGATGCCTGTTCCCAGTATTTTTAAAGCAATTATAAAGTTTTACTGTTTTGTTTTAAAAGGGAGTTGGGAATGGAAAAAGAAAAAAAAAAGTGTGGCTGAGGTCTCTTCATCCTATATGAGCACCTGTTTGTGTCCTGGCTGCTCTATCTCTGATTGAGCTCTCTGCTTATGGCCTGGGAAAGCAGCAGAATATGAATCAAGTAATTTGGCACCTGCCAACCTCATGGGAGACCCACAAGAAGCTCCTGATTTTGCTTTAGCCCAGTGCTGACTGTTGTAGCCATTTAGGGAGTGAAATCAGCAGAAGGAAAATGTCTCTGTCTGTCTGTTCCTATCTCTGTGATGTTGATGTTCAAACTAAATAAGTAAACATTAAACTATTATTTATTTTCATTTTTCTCTGAAAGGCAAAGAGACAGAGACAGAGAAACTGAGACCTTCTCCCTAAATCTCCATGACAGCCAAGACTAGACCAGGCTGCAGCCAGGAGTTGGGAACTCATCTGTGTCTGTCATGTGGGTGGCAGGTATCCAAGTACTTGAGTGAATGTCAGTTGATGTCTCATGTGTTTATTACTAGAAAGATAGATTGGAAGCAGAGCCAGAACTTACACAAGCACTCTAATGTGGGAGAGAGTTGTCTTAAGCAACATCTTAACTGATATGCCATTCCTCAGTTTTTTTTTTTTAAAAATCGTATTTTTATTTTTATATACAGAGTGACTGAATGTTGCCAATTTTGTTTTTCAGCATGTGGATCGATTGAGGATATAGGCAGAAACTCAATGTTTGGACAGATAGTACTTCATTATTGAATCCTAAAATGATTTATTAATTACTATCAGAAGCAAATGAAATTGTTAAGCACTTACTTTTTGTTTGTTTGCTTGCTTCAGGAAGGAGAAAACATTTTCTATTTGGCAGTTGAAGATATAGAAACAGACACAGAGCTTCTGATTGGCTACCTGGACAGTGACATGGAGGCGGATGAAGAACAGCAGATGACAGTGATCCGAGAAGGGGAAGTGGAAAATCCTAAACGACAATCAGTAGCTGGCAGAAAAGGTATTGCATTTTTAACATAGAACCTGAGAGAGTATAACTTGTACAAGAAATGTGGTGTGCCTTATTTGAATTAGGGTTGTATTGTCATACACTGTTATCCAAATAGTTTTGTTCAAAACTTTGCTCAGGATATCCAGCCTTGTGCTCATTTTTCTTACAACTGGACAGGGATGCTTGGAATGGGTGATGGATGTGCCCAGTAGGACTGCCAGGGTGAGAAGCCCATGCTGCATTTTGGGGGCAGGCTTTGGCTTTTGTGGCTCTTGCTGGTGCTTTGTGATTACAAATAGAATTTCTGCACTCCTGCCTTGGCTCTACCACTCGTGAGTCTTTTCACATCAGACAAGCCGGTGACTTTCTGAGCCTTTTCTTCTTCATCTGCACATGGGAGAGGGTGAGTGCAAGCTGAGGTGCTCCAGAGGACTGTGTTGGAACCTGGGGATTGGTTCCTGGACATTGCTCACTTTAGATTTCATTGGGAATTCAGCGCTTCTGGGAATATTTTCCCAGTTCTGATCATGGACTCCCAGCAGTATCACTGGGTTGTCATAGTTTGGTGACGAAAAGTCTACAATAACCATAGGTTAGATCTGCCTAAGTCACTTCTGCAGTCCAGGTGACAAACACCACTTGCTTGCCACCTGCAGAGGAATAACATCGTTTCTGTTGTTTTATATTTTCTTTTTGGTGATAATTGAGGGGGAAATGAATGATGGTTTAGTTCACGTTTTTAATAGGCTTTGTCTTAGTCCGTTCTGGCTGCCACAAGGAACTGATGCTAGGCGAGGTGAATTATACACAACAGAAATCTATTGCCCATAGTTCTACATCACAGGAAGTCCTAGTCTGAGACAGGTGCCAGCAGATGTGGTGCTTGAGGAGGGCTCCTTGGTCACAGACATTACCTTCTCCCTGTGTGATCACCTAACAGTTGTGGGAAGCAAGTTTTCTGGGCCTCTTTTGTAAAAAGCCTAGAAGCTCATCCAGGAGATGGCCAAGGCCTCTGACTCAGTGTCCATGGGGGGTTCTGGCTTTAGCTTAGGAACCCTGCAGGCTGTTCCTTGCAACTTTTCCATTTTGTGTAGCACAGCCACTCCGGAGGGGACTCTGGGTTCATTAGAGTGAAAATACTTCTCATATGATGTTCCTGTCCTGCTTGTTTGTTATTGGCTGAAAAAGTCTGAGAATTCTCCCATTGCCAGCTGGTGCTTCTGTTTCTTAATTTCACTCAGATCATTGAAGGGGACGGTGAGAACAGACTCGAACTGTTTTGTTTCTATGGTGTGCTATTTGGAATGTCAAATTTGTGGTGATAGAATTATTTCTGTTTTATTCTGTGTTTGCCTGTTATTTTTTTCTCTGTTGCCATAGGGTTTTGTTATTATCATATCCATTATTTTCATTTAAAGTAAGTTGCCCATTTGTCTTCTGTTGCCCTGATTTCTGCTTTAGTTAAAAAAAAACACTAGCTTCCTTTGTCTTTGTAAAATGAGTCAAAAGAAACACAGAACAAAATTTCAATGTTTGAATCAGATACCAATTTGTCTTATTTAGAATTCTTAGTGTCTTCTGTGTAAAAGCAAAGAAAATAAAAACAAAAAGGACCTCAAACTCAGAAAGAAATTACTCAAATATGTAACAATGAAGTGTGCGGTTCAATAAATGACAGTGATTTATGTTTAAAAATTTTTTTGACTTGAGATGATGTTATATGGCAAAAAGAACAACATAAAATAATGGAAAGAGTATGATCATAAAGGTAACAGAATCTACCCTCTGCATAAGATATATGTGTCACAGACTTAGAAATAGCATAGTTGCCTCTTGGTCATATTTATTTCTCTCATTGTTTTTCTACTTTCTAAATCTGCTTTTATTTGCTAATCAGAAGAAAATTTATATAATTTAAATAGCACACTGAGAGTGGGGCAGAGCTGTATCAGTCCATGTGGGATAGTGGAACCTCACTATAGCCCTGTTTTTATGACCATATATATTTTTTTCACACAAATGTGAGAATCCCCTGGGTAATTTAAACATAGCTTGCCTCAGATTTTGTTTTATGTAAAAGCTATAAGTGAACTAGAGATGACCCATTTAGGGAAAAACCATGTTTTACAATACAGCATATAAAATCCATTTTTATTCTGAAGAGTTGACATTAAAGCATAAGTTAAAAATTGAGAATTTGATTTTGCATCACGAGGAGAAAACGTAAGTAAAATGTTTTTTAAAATGATGCATTTCTCTCTAACAATACTTCTTCATGTAATTTTCTGTAGGCAAACACTGTGGGCACGCATTAAGCACAGTTCATTTTTATAACGTGAGGGCAGCCATGGCAGTTCTTGGCTCTGAGTTTTTTTGTAATAAACATGCTGCCTTTATAAATGTGCAGATGGCCTGGACTCTACAGATGACTATACCTGTCCTCATTGCGAATCAAGCTTTACCAGTGAGGACATTCTCACTGAGCATCTTCAGACATTGCACCAGAAGCCCTCGGAGGAGAAAGAGTATAAGTGCAAGAATTGTGGGAAGAAGTTCCCAGTAAAGCAGGCTTTGCAAAGACAGTGAGTATCTTGAAGATTACATATCCGTAAACTTACAGCCTCACATTTTTGTTTATGCCACTTGGCTTCACTCCTGTTTTAACATGTGTTGTGTGTGTGTGTGTCCATGTATCCATGTGACAGAAAGGGACTGAACATTTTACATTGGCACTGTCATTGACTCGGCCTTTTACAGGATAAAATATTGATTTTTGAAATGTCCTGTTCATGATATCTAACAAGGAAACCTTGTTTATAGTAAAGCCTCTTTGTCTATTTACGTACTTGCTATTCAGAATCAAGCTCACTGTTTTTTTTTTTTTAATCTAAAATGCAGATATCATAATGTAGCTATGGCTTGGAGGTGACAGGTCAAGTTTCAGTTGTCTGCATTTGATATCCCCTGTGGAGTTTGTTAAAGAAAAGTTTACGAATTGGAGAGTTCTTAACATAAAGAACACAGGGCATTGTAGGAAGTGCTTTTTATTTCATAGCAACTTTAGAGGAGTAATTTCGAGAACAATAGATCAGGATTTGGCAATATGATGAATTCAGTGTCCTCATCCACTCCCATGTATCCTTTCACACATTATGTAACATATTAAATTATGTTTTATTGAAATATTTTACAGAATAATGAGCTAAAATCTGTGTTGAAAGCATGAATTTATTTTTGTGGATATGTTTTATGGGATCCTGAATTATTAAATGAGAGAAAAGTTACACATATTTATAACTAATTTTTAATGAAATGTCACCTTACATGTGAGTAAGAAATCTTTGGCATATGGCATGTTACCTTCTATGTTTCATTAAATTAAAATTCTAATGTAGGCTGTTTCATATTATAACTGTTCCCATGTATTGCATGCATCAAATTTTGGTAACAGAATTTGAAAAGACACATTTCTGTTTGAAAGTTAAACTGAATGAGCTTAAAATTTAAAACTTTTCTAGTAACAGATTGATAGTTAGGTATTCTGCACAGATTCTTAAAAACAGCAAGAGCTATATACGTTTCAGTGTATGTATTTTAAAACTGCATTCTAGTGGACTCTTCGTAATTTATCACTGCATAGGCCATACCAATGATACCCTTGCTTAGCTGCTGGTTTTAGTTAAATCAGGTGCTATTTAAAACTTTAAAAGGCATAAAACTGAGTGACAAGAGTGTGAACATGACTTTATTCGAATTTCATATATTCCTTAAGTTTTTGTCTTAGACCTTCAGCATTTGTTTCTCTCTCCCTCCTTCTTCCTGTTTCCCCCTCAGCATTCTTCACTGCACAGCGAAAAGCAGCCTGAAGGATTCCTCACGAAGTTTTCAGTGTTCAGTTTGCAATTCCTCCTTCAGTTCAGCGTCGAGGTTTTGTGTCTGAGTTACCAGATGGCTGTTGGCTAACTCTGGGTCATTTTGTTGCATGCATACTTTTATGCTTGTTAGGGGTTCAGTACCTATGCCTAAGAGCCTAGCTGCCTTTGTTATCTGCCTAGGTAATGCATGAAATGACTGCAGACTCAACTAGGGAGCATGTGCCACGGAAGCCTGCTGTGATATTTAAGTTTTGTGTGTTTGTTTTCTCCCCGTTCTCACTTGTTGATTGTCTTTTAGTTTTGAGCAGCACCAGGAAACATGCCGGGGGGATGCCAGGTTTGTGTGCAAGGCTGACAGCTGTGGGAAGAGGCTGAAGAGCAAAGATGCCCTGAAGAGACACCAGGAAAACGTCCATACCGGTGAGGAGTCGCTGGAGGGTCATGTTGAAAGGGGTTTCCTCTCTGTGGGCCACAGTGGTCTGTTCTTAATTCTCGCTCTGGAGGAAAAAGCTGGCTTTTCCATTGTGTTTCACACAGATGTGGCTTTCTGGCAGTGGGGCCTTTTTCTTTCCGTGAACACTATTTTTCAAGTTGATTTTAGCAGCATTTATTATTTTTCTCATCTCCAAATAAATCAGAACTGTAACTGTAATCTGGGATCTGATGGTGCTTGGTGGTCAGGTGCATTAGGGATTGCTGTTTGTAACAGTTGGCATGTTTCAGTATGTGAAATTTTAGCTTTCATCACTTGTTAATATTTATGATTGTAAATATATTTTGAAATTACTAAGTTAAACCTATCTGTTTTAATCCTTCTACAATAAAATTGAATTTTTTTCAGTGTTTATAATTCTCCCTCTATCCTGCAAAAATTTCCTAATGCATTTTGACATGGCAGTTGGATTAGTTTGAAATAGTAAAGTAATGTTGTTTGCATTTTACCTAATGGTTAATTAAACAATAGGAATAAGACAAAATTTAACTATCACTTAGAGTTTGTCTGCCTCGTTTATGAGAGGTAGGAAATATGCTATGACTTACAGAAAACATCTGTTACACTCAGGTGACCAAAGTTTTTCCTGATTGGAAGCTGAACCACAAGGAACTTTCTGGAATTAGGCAGAATTGTGTCCATTGATGTGGAGAGAAGTGAATTTCTTAGGATGCTTGGAACCCATCATGTTCAAATCAACTTCAAAAAAGTTTACAGAACATGAAATTCAAAGTTTATTTTGTTGGAAAAATCTCTTGAAAATTTGAACATACCTTCTGGCGAAAGGAATTTTTCATGAGCTATTTTTGATGACCCTTCATTTAGGGACGTTCAGACTTTTTTTCTTTCACCCAAATAAACTTTCCAATTCCATTTTCATTGAACATTGTAAAGTGCCCTGAAATGTCTTATGTTTGCTTACTATTCATGACACACCTGCATTAGTAATAATAAAACTACTGAGGCTGACTGCTCATTCCCACCTCGCACGGTAGGCTTGGACTGAACATGTTTGCTGTTCGTGAGTGGTCTGGTGGGCAGAAGGTAGAACTTTGCACGGTGTACCCTCAGGCTCAGGCTCATCACTTCAGGACTTCACTGTCTTCAGGTTTCACTCTTGTCTTTTGAAGAACCTGGGAAGCATGAATTGTTTTTTGTTGTTTTCTTTTTTTTTTCCTGAATTCTATACTGCGTCCTTCTCTATGATTGCAAAAAGCATAACTTTTTCATAGACTTGTCCCCATAGTTTTCAGGAAAAAATACTGGTCTGGTTAAAATGCTGTTCTTAATTTTCTCCATCTATGTCTGCAGTATATTGTAACAAAACTTTCATGTCAGTTTTAAAGTTAACTTAACTGAACTAAGTGAAAAAACAGATGCAGACTGAAACTGGAAATTTTTCCTTTCTTGTTACTGGGCATGTGGTCTTCAGGCGACCCTGTAAGAGTGACTTCTTTGAAGCTTCTTGTCATTGGCCTTGGATATTACAATACTATTGGTTCTGGAAATTCTTTGGTTTTTAATAGGAAATAATTCATAGGAGAAAATTTTATTTTCTATATTGTGGATGCTATGCAAAAGAAAATGTTGTGTTTCTTTTGGCTGGGGTTAATACGAGAGCTCAGTTTGTCATTCATTGTTTCTCCCCTTTGCTTTGTAAGCCACATAGACATTTGGCTAACGAATATTGCTTTTCTGAGAGTAGCAAGTAAAACAATATTCACAGATCTGGAGGTAGAATCTTGTGCTATAGAAAGGTAAAGATATCAAAGAAAAAAAGAAAAAAATAACGGGTCTTGTTATGTCTTCTTACATTGGTCGCTGTTTCTTGCTTAGCATTGTGAATGGAGATTACTGAAGACAGGGAAGCTGACTTTTAAATATGAAACTATTTTTTTTTTCCATAGAAGTTGTAAATGTGCTGATAGGTTCTTGGGTTGTCTGTTAGCATACTTAAAGCACAGTATGTTGAAACTTGCAATACTAAGTGAATATATGCTTATTGCAATGCTGTTAATTTCATTCACAATTTGCCTATTGCTACAATAATGTGTTTTTGGATGTTTTTTAAAAGTAAAATTTGAAAGTCAATATCAGACTTACCTGTACATAATAAAACTAAACTAGGATAAAGTCTAGACAGGTTTACTGCTTTGCTTTCCTTGAACCTGGGGAAGTTGGTTGGCTGGTAGGAACCTTCAGTTATTGAAGAAGAGGCAGAGTAAAGGTACTGTGTTCCTTAATCCAGTTACCGTTTTTCTTCTTTGCTTTAAGTCTGTGCCTGCTAGCAGGAGACTTCGTATTTATGGAAGGGAACATTTCTTTGCATTTGCAGATGCAGTTGTAAGCTTTTCCTGTGTTTATTTGCAAAGTAGGTGAGACTTGAGTTCATAACGAGGAAGAGAAAATCTGAAGAATAGCGATGGGGAGTTGGTGTACTACATGTTCCCTTGGGGCGTGGTGTGCTCCTCAGATTTGATGTGGTGTCTGTGATTCTGGAGTGCAGAGAGTGCAAACACAAAGTGAGGGGTTGGTTGAAGATATTCAGTCTTTCTTCCAACTTAACTCGCTGAGAAACCCTTGAGCCTATTCTCAAGGAGCAGCAACCACGAATAATTGTATGTTGGGAACTGTATGTTCTTCCTAACAGCATGGTAGGTTTCTGCGGCTTCAGAAGATGTGTGGGTTTCTCACCATGAGCAAGTAATCAATCAAAACTACAGTGAATGCAAACTGGGTCTCCTCTAGCTTCCGTTCTGAAATCATCTCCCTGGAGATAGCATTGATTCTCACAGGTTGGGGACTTAGTCTACATGATTGCCCTCTGTAGATGCCAGTCACCAGCCCTAGGCTATTCTGTCTGTCTTTCTGATCCACCCCTATAAATCTGCACTTCTTCAGATGGAACGACTCCCAGAACTCAAGGAAGCACTTAGGCTATGATTTATTAAGAAGGATATTACACAAGAAAGAGATGAAGAGAGGCATAGGCACATGATGGGGGGAATGACACAGTAGAGTCCTTACTTTCTGTAGGTACCATTCTCCATGAGCCTGCACATGTTCAGCTTTCCAGGTGCTCAGGAGTCCTGAGCTTAGGTGATGGAGAGACCCAGCAATACCTGTCCACTGTCTGCAGTGTGCTTCCTTGAAGATGTGGCAACAGAACCCTGTGGAGTGAAGAGGATGTTCACCTGCTTTCTGAGTTGTTATGGGATGCATTGGGGTGGGTGTTAACTGCCAGGAAACCATGAATCAATCCAGTAAATACACATTATAATATTACAGATGCAATAGGGCAATGAAAGATTGTGAATGAAAGGTGGCCATTACAAACTAGAAGGAACCTGATAAAGAGATCATATCCTTTTTCATTGGCCCCTCACATCTAAGAGATACATATATTTGCATGAAATTGATGTTGCATTGTTATTTTCACATGGCAGAATTTTCTCCTTTATTATTTGGTAGTCTCCGAGAAAAAAAAAAACAGTGCATAAAATGAAATAATCATCTTGAAAATTAGTCAGTTCAGTATTTTCATTTTCTAAAAGCGTGTTTCTTTTTTTAAAAAAATATTTCTATTTGAAATTGTATTATTGAGTAATTTTGTTTTTGACTCTTTCGGATTTGCTTTGGAATATCAGGGAAGTGGATGTGTGTGGCTGGGGTAGGAATGCATGAATCAGTCATTGTTGAGTTCAGGTGGTGTCCACCTGATGGATGTTATGGTTTGCATTATCGGCTTGCATTTTCTGTATTTGAAGCCAATAAATTACAAGTTGGCAAGACCATTTTTTGATGGTTCAGAGGGTGCTATTGTTATGTCACATTTTAAAGTGTATCTTGTTGAGTCTTTTGTTGCTTTTTAAATAGATTTATTTATTTACTTGAAAGCAGAGTTAGAGAGGTAAAGACATTCCAACTGTCCCATCTGCTATTTCATTCCCCAGATGGATGTAAAAGTTGGGCCTGAGCCAGGCCAAAGCCATGAATCAGGAACCTAGATTGGTTTTCCCACCTGGGTGGCTGAGGCCTGAACACAAAGCCATCTTTGAACACCTTCCCACACTGTCAACAGGGAGTTGGAATGGAAATAGAGCAGGTGGAACATGAACTGGAGCCCATATAGGGTGTTTGTCACAGGCAGTGGCTTTACTCACTACTTGTCAAAGCCAGTCCTTTGTATTTCTGTAATCATTAGGAAATTTGAAATGTGAAATGAGTTACTAGAAACATAACCATTGTGACAAAATGATGAAACGGGGCTTTGTTTTGATTTGGATAACCATTAATCACCAGTATGTTTTATTGTACTTGATTGTACTTTATTCTGTTTCTTGGTACTAATTGGATAAAGCAAATGCTCATAAATTTTGTGAATCTAGTACTGGCAAGAAGAAATTATAGCCAAATTTAAAATCTCAGTAGATGAAGTAGACTATTCTGTTGGAATATAAGGGCAATAATAAGACATATGAATGAATGAATGTTTTCTTATACAAACACATTTTGTTAATTTTATTGTTGATCTGAACCTTCTTATGGAAATGTCCTTCACTGTTTTAATATTCTATCAGTACACAGAAAAGTGAAAAACCTAAGAAAATGATTTATTGCGCTGAGAATTTCTCATTTTTTTATGTGAAAAGGTTTAAAATACAGCTTGCTCTTTATCTGAGTTTAATGCCTTTAACAGTTTAAGATTGTAAATGATAACAGTCAAGTTGTGTGTCACTTGCCCACACCCAGTCTGTTTCCCCTCTTATTTCTACCTAATTCATAAGCACTTTGTTTCTATTTTAGGTGATCCAAAGAAAAAGCTCGTATGTTCAGTGTGCAATAAAAAGTGTTCTTCAGCATCTAGCCTACAGGAACATAGAAAGGTCAGTAAGATAAAGAATTGCTTCATCAAAATACAGGGATCTTTCCATATTATAGTGTCTGCTTTATAGCTTTTTGTTGATTTTTAAAGTCAAGGTTATTTATTCATTCAACTATTGACTCACTCCTTAGATGGTTGTAAAAGCCAGGGCTGACTAGGTTGAAGGCGGGAACCAGGAACTCCATCCTGGCCTCCCGTGTGGATGCAGGAGCCAAATGTTTGGAACATCTTCCGCTGTTTTCCCCGACACATTAACAGAAGGCTGAGATGTGGAGCAGCCAGGACTCACTCAAAATGGCATGCTTTAATCTGCTACCGTGCCGTTGGTTTAGGATTGTTATGTACTGTTAGGACAGATGACCAAAGATGCCATTTAAAATTGTCTATCTATCTTTTGAGTGACAGTTTATACACACACACACACACAGAGCTCTTCCATCTGCTTGTTCACTCCCTAAATGGACACAGCCTGCACTGTTTTCCCATTCCATAAGTCAGGAACAGCCAGGACTACAACAAGTGACCATGTGGGAAGATGGCTCATGTAGGCTGAAATTTGACCAATTAAGTTGCCATGATGGCCCCTAAAAAAGTTGTTCTGTATTTTATTTTTGTTTCCTAAGGATTTATTTATTTTTATTGGAAAGGCAGATATACAGAGAGAAGGGGATACAGAGAAAGATCTGTATAAAGTTTCATTTTTACATATGTTTGAAAGTCTGAGTAAAAGAGATGGGGACACACACACAGTGTGGGGTGGGAGAGAGAGAGGGAGAAAATGTGAATGGATGAGTTAGGCTGAGGCCAGAAAGCAGGAACTGCAACCTGGTCTGGAGCATGTGGTGGTGGCCCGGGTGCTTGGGACACCATCTACTGCCTCCCAGAGTATGTAGGAAGCTGTGTCAGAAGTGTTTGTAGCTGGAACTGAAGTCACCCCTCCGATACAGGATGGCAGCACCTCAAGTGGTGACTTAGCTTGCCATGCCACAGTCCTGTCCCCTAGTCCATTTATAGCCCCTTTCTTCCAGGCTGATTCAGTTGCTGTGTCTGAGGAGGGATGTCAATGGGGGAGCCACATGCGTTTCATGTGCTTATAGTATGTTGGCATCATTTGACTAATGGAGTAGTGTGTGTCATAGTCAGTTTAACCCATCAGACAAGTGGTGCATTATATATATATTTAATTTTCAAAATAATATATATATACACCAGTAATATGATCAAGTAATTATAGCATGAATTACCAATACATGTTTTATTGAACTTGATTTTACTTTACTGTACTTTTAATTAACATAAAATATGTATTCAGATTTATGTGTCCAATTGATGTTACAAAAATAAATAATTATTGGGAACAATAAATTTAGCATTTATTATAAATATATATTTATTATTATTTTGATATAAAAATAACCTGAAAATAAATGATAACCGTTAAGTCTATTGATTTTAACAAGCAGTTAATAGAATTTTTAATAAAATTAAAGTAGGATTTTGATTTTAGTTTGCATTATGACTGGATCTAAAATATTTTGTTGATAGCAAAGGTGTAAATGATCATCTCGTAATTTAATACGTTGTTTTTAGCTTATCTAGGGGACTTCGAAAATTTTCTTTTAGTGATGGAATACCCAAGTAGAGTGGAAGTGCTGCTAGTGAAAGCAAAATGTTACTTTTGTTGAGGTTTGTGAAATGAAATTCTATCTCTTTGTATGTATAAAGATGTAATTCAAAGTAATTTGACAGGACTTAAAAAATTCATATGATTTTTATAATACAGAAGCTGCAGCCATGTGCTGTGGATTTAACTTCTGACATGTGAGATCCTTAATTTATGGTGTTGACATGTTTGAGGTTATATCCTATATGTTGAGTGATTCTGATTCTTGGGGAGAAATAACAGAACAACCACAGGCCAGTGAATCAGGACAATGGGGCTCTTCTTTTCCTGCCATTAACCCTCCGTTCAAACATTTAATCTATTTTTTTCATTTCTGAAATGAGACATTGAACTGCTTAGCATTTTTTCTTCCCAATTTTCAAAGCAAAGCATTTTTAGACATATCCTGGTGATGCTTTTTAATTAGTTATAAAGTTTTTTGTTGTTGTTTGTTTCGGCTTGTGTTTTTTGTTTGTTTGTTTTTGTTTTCTGTTTTTTTTTCCCCCCCCAGAGGGAGAGCAAAATGCAGACAAAAGAGAGAGATGTCCTGTGTGCTGGTTTACTCCCTACACGTCCTCAAGCTTTAGGACTGTGCCAGGCTGAAGCCAGGAGCCAGGAACTCAATCCAGGTGTCTCAGAGGGGCGATAGGGACACAGGAACTTAGAGCATCACCTGCTATCTCTCAGTGTACGCATTAGCAGGAAACTAGAGATGTGAGTAGAAGCAGAACTTGTTCATGGACGCTCTGGTTTAGGATGTGGTCATTCCCAGCACTGTTTTAACCAATAAGCAAGATGCCTAACCTGCTGGTTTTGTTGTTGTCATTTGTTCTCTGAGTCACATGATATTGTGTTGTAGATCACATTTTTCAAGTGATGATTTTATTAGATTCTTAAAAAAATGTGAAACACTTTATGGATTTTTGTATGATTTATACATGCTAATCTTATCTGTATCCTAACAGTTTAATGTGTACACTGAGATCAGTTTTGTAAGAGTAGTCACAGATGACACTTGCCTTTTTTATTTGAAAAATATTACTTTTTTTTAAAGATTTATTTATTTTTATTACAAAGTCAGATATATAGAGAGGAGGAGATATAGAAAGGAAGATCTTCCATCCAATGAATCACTCCCCAAGTGAGCGCAACAGCCGGTGTTGCACCGAACCGAAGCCAGGATCCAGGAACTTCCTCCAGGTCTCCCACACGGATGCAGGATCCCAAGGCTTTGGGCCGTCTTCGACTGCTTTCCCAGGCCACTAGCAGGGAGCTGGATGGGAAGTGGAGCTGCCAGGATTAGAACCAGCGCCCATATGGGATCCCGGGGCGTTCAAGGCGAGGGCTTTAGCCAATAGGCCAATAGTCCACGCCATCAGCCCCAAAATATTGTATTTTTAAAAGATCTGTTTATTTATTAGAAAGAGTTGCAAAGACAGAGATGTTTCGCCCATTGTTTTACTTCTCGGATTGTTACAACTACTGGGGCTGTGCCAGGCCAAAGCCAGGTGCTAGGGGCTTCATCTGTGTCTCCCTTGTTGGTGCCAGGTGTTCTAATACTCAGACCATTTTTCAGTGCTTTTCTCAGCCCGTCAGCAGAGGCTGATTCACATGGGATGACAGCATCAGAGGCCATGGCTTTTCGTGTTATGCCAGAATGCCAGTCCCCACATGCCACTTTTTTTGTAGAGCTCTTTAACTGACTCATTATCCTTATGGCTTCAGAACAGAATAGTAGTCTTCGAAAAGGATTAAACCCACTGGAATAGTGTCATAACATTCTCTTATATAACTCTTACAATTCTTATTTCCCTGGTCTATTTAAATTATTACAGATTAGAAAAATATTTTGTTAAATATAGTAGTTTGATAATGCTGCCTGTGGAGTATATTTCTGAATACTGTCTTCTTTTTCACGCACATTCTTCATAATTAAGACCCTTTTTCCCCCTGAAAGGAAAAACTAGGTAAGAGGATAACTTAACCCCACTTGCCCTGCTGTTTCACTCTTTTTACCCTCCTTGCCCTGGCTCCTTCGGTGCTCGCTTGGATCAAGGGAGCCATTTGCTGGAGGACAGCGCACGTACTGCGCCTATCCAGAGTCCTCTGCCGTGATCTTCCACTCTGGAGTATCTCTGTTTATTCTTCAGTGACAGCCAGTCACCTAACTTCCTCTAAAGAACATTTTCTTATCTAGTTTGATAATGTGAGCGATGAGTTTAATTAGATAGTAACAAAAAACGTGACTTCCCATAAACCATTTTTTTTTTAATATCCGGTAAAGGAGTGTGATGCTTTCACTTGCTATGGTGATTAATAATTCTGATACAAGATTTTCTTCAACTCTTTCATTTAGTTTAAATATTTATTTATTTATTTGAGAAGCAGAGAGCAAGAACAAGAGGGCAAGGGAGTGAGAGAAAGAAATAATTCCTCTTTGCCAGTTCACTCCACTAATGCCCACAAGGGCTGGGAGTGGACACAAAGGTGGCAACACAATCCAGCTCTCCTACAGGAACCCAGTCACCTGAATCCTCAGCACTGCCTCCCAGGGTCTCTGTTAGCAGGAAGCTTGGAATTGAATCGAGGTTGTGTAATGCGGGATGCCGTTGTTCCAGCCAGGGCGTCAAACACCCAACCTAGTATGTTCCTTTCACATTTGAGTACATGGTCTCTTTTGATACAGTGAACATATACTTTCTTTACTGCTTTTCCAGTTTCTCTGATTTAGTGTCTGGGAGAGAAAGAAGCACTTTAATAATCATTTGTAATATTTATATTAAATAGTTGTTTATAAGCTATGTCTGTCATTATTAGCTATGATTTTAAATCTTATTGTAATCTTTGTACCATGTGAGTCTTTCACTGTGAGCTGCATGCTTTTTAAAATCAGGTATATTTTGGTATTTCACTGTTACAAATGTTTTACTTTGTTCTGAATTCATTTATGTTTAAAATATTGTTGCTTGCTATAAAGGGAATATTATATCCACAGGTTACGTAGTTCCAGTTCTAAATTTGTGCATATCAACAAGAGCTAACGTACGTTAGCTGTAATTTCTACAGTATTTATTTCCTGTGTTCTATATGAGTCAGTTGTATTACATATTTGAGTAGGATGAATCTTATATTTTATTTTAATATCATCCTTCTGGTAACATATGCTCATTGCCTTTCTATTTTATGTGGGACAGTATGAGCATATGAAGGCTAAATTAAAATTTTTATATCATAATAGCAACTGTCCATGTGTTTGTATCTCTGCTCGTGTGTTTTTATTAGACTTTGTTGGTTTATTTACCTGTCAATTGAACCTTTCACAGACTCATGAAATATTTGATTGTCAAGAATGTAGGAAAAAATTTATTTCAGCTAATCAGCTAAAACGCCACATGATCACTCACTCAGGTAAAGTATCTTCTTTTTCATTTGTTTTGGATTGCCTTTATGAGAGACACTTTACTCAGTGGTTTTGAAGATCTCTAGGGTGGTACTAAGGAACCCTGGTTAAAAGTTCCAGCTCTGCCATTAATTCGTCTTCCCTAGATCTCACTTTTACAAGGCCAAAGTGATAAAAGTATGGAATGATGTTAAAGCTCTTCAGTGACACCATTTACTTTGCCACCTGTCCTGTTCCTGAAAGAGCTTCAATTTCTTTATTCCTCGTGTGTGAGTGGGGTCTGCCTTACCTATGCAAAACGCTATGGAGGCTGAAGGAGACCATCTATGTACTGTTCTAGCATAATATTGGACATTTCACAGAAACCCAATAATTGCAACTCTTCTATTTCTAGATATTTTTGCATTCTAAATGATGTACTAATAACTGTTAGTGATAAATTGTAAATACATTTTGAGAATATGTCTTTAACACCATGTTTTCATTTTTAGTGAGTTTGTCAGTCTGTTCTAGTCATAGAATTGCAAAACAAAAACCATCCCTAAAATATATTTTTGCTTCAAGGAGTCTCTAAAGTTTAGGATGTCTATAACTCTAGGCCTTTGATTTAGAACTTTTTTTGAATATGCCATTGCAAACAGACACATATGCTTTGATAAATTAAAATCAGAAATCTGAAGCTGGTAGCTTTTAAGTTACATGTATATATATATATATATGCATACATATATAATTTAGCTGTCTGCAGTATAATAATATGTGCATATTCCATAAGTTTGGATTCCACATACTAGCTTCAATGTGTAACTCCTACTGAGAATCATAAGCTTGGTACCTGGGGCTGGTGTGTCCCAACAGGGAGCAGCTGGGTCCGTTTATCGCTTCACCATGAGCCCACCCTTAGCCTTGAATTTTGGAACCCTGATTTGAAACATAAACGTCAGCATAGCTTATGTCTGCAGATAGAATTTGCTCACTGTTTTTATATACGCAAAATAGGGAGCAGGTGTTTAACCACCTAGTTAACACATGTTTCCTATATCACGTGCCTGTGTTTGATGATTGCCTCTGTCTCCAGCGTCCCAGTTATGTAGACCCTGGGAGGAGGGGAATGGCGATGGCTCAAGTAACTGAGTTACTGCCACTCACTGGGCGACTGGATTGAATACTTGGTTCCCAGCGTTGACCTAGCACAATCCTGGCTACCGTAGGAACCCGAGTGAACCAGAAAATTGAGTTCTGTCTCTTTGTCTCTTGTTTTTTTTTTCTCTCTCTTCTTCTCAAATATGTTTCTCCATAATTTATAGAATAGGTGTTTAAAAGAATGAGCCTGTATTTCATTTGTGAATAGACACTTATCTACTGTAGATGCATTAAATGGCATATTCCTTGTTATGTTGGTTGACCATGCCTTGCTTGTGCATAAGAAGTAATTTAAGAAGAAGATGCTTTCCGTTTATCCTCTACTCTGTAAATATGAAATTGTCTTCACTCATTTTTCGCAGAAAAGCGACCCTATAATTGCGACATCTGTAATAAGTCTTTCAAGAGGCTGGATCAAGTGGGTGCTCACAAGGTTATACACAGCGAGGATAAACCCTACACCTGCAAACTCTGTGGGAAGGGGTTTGCCCACAGAAATGTTTACAAGAATCACAAGAAGGTAAATATTTATTAATATTATTTTTCTGCAAATTTACCTGTACAGTTTTCTTTAATCATTTATAAAATTTTTAAGTAACTGCAGCAACTGGGGGAGATCTTGACTTTAAGCACTCATAACCCTTGCTGTCTCATCCAGTCTGGCATCCTCTATTAAAAATGGTTTTCATGGTGATGTAGCATGGTAGTCCTCCACCTGTAGCACAGACATCACATATGGGTATCGGCTCATGTCCTAGCTGCTCCATTTCTGATCCAGCTCCTTGCTCATGAGCTGCCAAAGCAGCAGAGGCTGGCTGCAGTCATTGGATCCCTGCACTCACAACAGAGACCTAGAAGAAGCTCCTGGCTTCACATCAGCTTAGTTTTGGCCATTTTGACCATTTGGGGAGAGAATCATTGAATGGAAGACCTTTCTCTCTCTCTCTCTGCCTTTACTTCTCTCTGTAAAATCTGCCTTTCAAATAAAAATGAAGAAATCTTAAAATAGTCTCAGAGGCAAAGTGTCATCAAATATATGTGCATTCTCATATATTAAATAATTTGGAGGGGAAGGGCTAGAGTTGCAACAATTCTGAAGTCTTTTTTCTGTTCCTTCTTTCCCAACAGTTGATTTTTTTATGTTACTATTTTGAAAGTTCTCTTCATTTTTGTTGTCTTTGTAGTAGATAGAGCTCCTCTTTGAGTTTTTCTGGATACTTCTTTGATTTTCCTTTGGTCCCAGCGATAATCCTGATGCTTTGGGTGAGGATCTCCATTGTATTCTCTTTTTCCTAACACGTGTCCACTACATCAGTGGCTTGTGTTATCAGTGCTATGGTGATGAATTCCAAATAATTCATTTTTCCTGGATCCCAAACCTCAGGCTCACATTTTTAACCACTTACTTCATATATTGCTGAGCCTGCTTTTGATGTAATGAATTCAACATGCCTCAGAATGACTTTCTCATTCTCTTTCCCTACATGATGTGCCTTGGAAGTTTCTTCTTTTTGTGGTTCAAAAAAGCACAAACAAGTGTCTCTACTTTAGTCATGATCCCTTTGTATCATTAGAGCCAAGTCGCATGGCTTTACTGTGCATCATCTTGTCACCTAAATACATTTCCAGTGCCTACACGATTATGGTACATATACCTCTGTCCTGTAGAGTTCTCCGCACTGCGATCCCAGCCTTCTTCTGCAGTGTTTTATCTTGCTGTTCTGGACATTAACTACATCACAAACATTTGCCTTCATTCTGTGTGTCTTTTCTAATCTTTCTCTTCAAGTTATAGTTACTCAGTTTCTTCTGATTTTTATTTTTGTGTATTTTCCTTGCCTTTTTCTTAAAATTCTCATTTCAGAAGGTGTTAGGATTACATTTACTACGCTGTGTATAAAATAAGTAATGCTTAAATTGAATTCAAGAGGTTTACTCAAGGATATTCAAAATCTTGAAGATGCGTATGCGTGTAAAATACATTTGTGATGCAGCAATTATCTGCGTATTGATTCGGATTAGTAGGTTTTAGTACATTATCAAATGAGTCTACAATGTTTTAAAATAACTTATTACTCATTTTCTTCAATTGCAGTATTCCAAATGAAAGTAATAGTTAAATTTTAGTATTGTATCTTTTAAAATAGCTTGTTATTTATTTTTTCCAATTACAGTATTTTATGAGGATAATAGCTCATTTCAGGACAAAGATCTCACGGTCTGCTTTTTGGAATTATTCAGAAAATTATGACATTAATTCCAGCTTCAGTCTACAAGGCGTAAGAAAATTTCAAGCTACCGAAGAATGAACAGGGTTGATTGATAGCGCCCCAGATTGCCTCTGCCAGACTCCGTGCTTCCCACCTTCATGTTACGTGTAAAGATTATATGTTGAGGGGTGGCAGGATTGCATTCAGTGCTGTTGCTTTGGAATTGTATGGCTGTAAAAAATTATCTGGATAGTTTCCTGTTCAGTCTCTGGAACCCTGTTGTTCCTTGCTTTGATGAAACTGATCTACCCACATTTATGGGTTTTTCACAGTTTGACGTAGATTATATGCCTCTTGGGAATTTGGCACAGGATCTTTGCACCATCACTCAGACTTTGAGTCATAAATCATGTGAAAGTAATAATGATGTCTTGGGAAGGATAGAAACCGTGGTGCTCGTAATTTCCAACGTGGAAAGCACATTCAATCCTTCTTTCCTGAACAAATGTACTTCTCACTCTGGGATGATCCCAGCATATGCGTGGTATAGTTATATGAAAATATTTGAGATATTCTGGAAGGTTTATATTTAAAAAAAGCAAATCGTCCCTTTTTTACAGTTATTCTTTAATGATCCATTTGGTTTTTTGAATGTGTAACCTATATGTTTTTATTTTATTTATTCACTTGTGTTATTTTAACCATTTTCTCATACTTATAAATGGAATATTTTTCATTGTGATTATGATAATATAGAGTGAAATTTCAGAGGGGTAATTTATGTTTCTTAAAAACTTTTGTGAATCATCCCATCGTCTTGTGAGGCTTGTGAGCGCAAGTGATCAAAATTAATCATTTATTTCTTTCACCCCAATAATCATATGATTAAATTTGTAACACCTCCTTAGGATCCAGCAAAAGTAGCAATGCTTTGGACCCGATGTACTTAACTCTTTAGATCGCAAATGCACAGATGTTTCAGTGCCACAGGACACAGAACCTGATACATCATCTGTACCCTGTCTTCCACTTCCTGTCAGAATAGTCCCAACAAAATTTGGATTAGGTACCAGTGCTTTTCTGCTTCTGAAGGATGAATGGATACACTGCACCATCTTGCATCCTGCATCCAGCAATACTTCCTTGATGGTGAAAATGAACAGGGAGGGCTTTTGCCTGGAGGAAACATAACCAAACTCCTTAGGGACTCCTGTGTGGCTGGAGGGCCTGTGTGTAGTTTCAGGATGTACTTTAGAGGCTCTGAGGAAATCTAATTCCCAATTCCTCCTAGAAATGAGAAATGATTCCATTGGCCTCTCGGAGTAATGTCTCACACTCTGGTTCATGGCCTCTTCATGCCTTTACACACACACACACACACACATACACACGCTTGCGTGCACACATTTACATAAATATTTTTGAAATAAGGGACATTAAGGAGAGAGTGCTTTTAAAAGTTTTTTTTTAAAGGTTTATTTACTTTTATTGCAAAGTCAGATATACACAGAGGAAGAGAGATAGAGAGGCAGATCTTCCGTCCAATGATTCACTCCCCAAGTGAGTGCAATGGCTGGTGCTGCGCCAATCCGAAGCCAGGAACCAAGAAGCTCCTCCAGGTCTCCCACACGGGTGCAGGGTCCCAAGGCTTTGGGCCATCTTCGACTGCTTTTCCAGGGAGCTGGATGGGAAGTGGAGCTGCCGGGATTAGAACCAGCGCCCATATGGGATCCCGGGGCGTTCAAGGCGAGGACTTTAGCTGCTAGGCTACGTCGCCAGGCCCTAAAAGTTTTTTTATTGAAGGAATTTATTGATAATATTGGATGATTAGGATCTACCACATGTATGATAATTACTACAACAGAAGTCTTATTGGTTCTGTTTAATATGATATTAAAACACTGCCAGTGGGAATGGTTTGTCACAGTAAGAGAAAATGTAAACTTTAAAAAGAATGCATAAAGTGTTTTGGAACATCTCCTGTGTTACATTGGCAGATGTTTGTATCATCAGCGATTTGACATTTAAAACAAGAGATGTTATGTAGCACGAGGGTCATTTGATTAATAAGTCACAGGGTATTTTGGCATTCTTCACTGTTGAACAAATGCAGGATAAAACATTTTCAAAAGCTTCATTTAATCCGTTATTTGTAAAACATTTTATATCTTGGACACAGAAATCCACTATCCACAGCATACATTCTACTTACGTAACACGTCTTGTTAGGGCTTTCTGTTGAGTACATTTGTGATCTGCTAAGGTTTCTTTCTAAGTCGGGGCCAACACTGTGGCATGTTTTTGTTTTTTTTTTTAATTTTATTAGTGACGATGTTTACATAGTTGATGGGGTCGAAAGGGTCGAGGATCAAGGGATGGTGGGTGAGACCACTGTTTACACATTTTGTTTTTCTTCTCGTATATTAACGTGAGGGGGATACAAAAGGAGAAACTATGCCGAGCTTCCCAACCGCCACATTACCTGGGAGATTGGGTCACTGCCACGCGATGTCATCCCAAGGTCCCCGTTGTGGAGCATTTTCTGAGGGTTCCGTTTATGTGTTCTCGGTAGTTCTGAGATGATGCTGGTATTTGCTGCTCCATGGATGAGCAAATCTTTCCGAGGTCATAGTCCACCTCTATGTGTCAAGCCCAGAAATTTGCTGTCAAGTTTCACTGGGGTAGTTGAATAATTTTATCTGCCCTCTTTCCTCAGCCCTGTGTTGCAGCCGAACCCAGCCCTGTCCAACACATGCTTGGTCGTTTTGTACCACAGGGGGAGCTGCAGCCCACTCAGAGTTGGGATTTTTGTTTGTTTGTTTTGTTTTTTTAGGATTTTTTTCTTTTTAGACTTGAAGAAAGATGAAATTTTATATAGTCACCGTTTATTTCATGAAAACTGAAGTTACGCTGAGGGTTGAGCAGCTCTGGTTTCTGTGCCTGCCAATATGTGCAATGGACTGGTCTGGTCGGCCTCACATCCCATGCGATCTCACATACATCATTGAGCATTGAAGCCTAACTCTACTGAGCTGACTCCAACCTCCAACCCACACTCATGCCAGCGAGTGCCACCACCTGTTGAGCCAGGTCCACCTCCAGTCCTAGTTCTCATGCTCATTAGTGGCAATTGCAGCCCATCGGAGAGGTGCCCACAACCCTCCCCTGAACCCACTCCTCACCCCGGATCTCAGACTCTCCAGGTGGTTTTGCGGTCTAGCTTGACAGACCTTGTCCCCAGTCCCAGCACTTGGCAGCTGATGCTGAAGCAAAGCCCAACCTGACTGTCCTTATTCTGGCTCATGCCTGTACCAGTGGATGCAATTGGCTACCCCAGCCTGGCTTTCCCCAACCCAGTTCACATGTAGGCCAACAGGTGTTGTAGCCCTGTCTAAACTGCTGCCCCCAGTTCCAGCTCTTATGCTCGCCCGCATGAGTGATGGACCAGCATTGGAGTCCCCAATACTCCCCTACCAGGCTCACACCTCTGTCCCAGTCTCATGTGTGCTGGTGGATGTTGGGGTCCAGCCTGTCGTGGCCTGTGCCACCTGGGCATTTGTCAGTGGATGCTGCAGTTTGGTCCTGCCCGGCCTGCTCCCATTCCATCTTGCACTGGTTGGAACCGCCGTTCAACTTGTCACAGTCAGTCCCCAGTCTTTGCCCTAATGTGAAACTGGGTGGTGATGTGGCCAGACCCAGCCCATTCTGCATCCCATTCTGATTCTCATATCTGCCAGTGGGTGTTATGAACTGGCCCAGCCTGGTCCATTCCCGTATCTGAACCACACTTATGCTGGCAGGTACTGTAACTTGGTCTGCTCTGGGCTGCTCCTTGCTTTGATTCTTGTACTCACCTCCAGGGACTGTACCCCAACAAAGGAGTTCCCCAAGCTCCTCTCTTGGGTCTTTTCTCAGTGGCAAATCTTGCTCACGTGGGCTTACTCAATCCACCTCTTGTCATGGCAGAACAGTAGCCTTGCCCTTCTGGCCCATACCTATTCTGGTTCTTACTGTTTGGTGCTATAGCCCAGCCACTCCTAGTCTGTGCCCCAACACAGCTCTCATGTGGTCCAGTCGGGTTGGAAATCAAGCCCAACCTGTTCTAAACCCACTCTGGCTTTCACAAGCACCAGTGGATGCTGCAGTCTAGCCTGGCAGACTAGCTTAGCCTAGTCTGGCACACATGCTGAGGCACACTGCAGCCATGTCCAGCCCAGACCAACAGGCATGGTGGTTTAAACTAAAGCTTAGGATGCCACATGCCTTTTTAGAGCTCTGGTTTGAATCCAAACTGTTCTGCTTCTGATTCAGCTCCTTGGCTGATCCACCTTGGAGAACAGCAGAAGATAGCCTGTGTTCTGGGCCCTTCTTCTCTGTAGGAGACCAGTATGGAGTTCCTGACTCCCTGGCTTGTTCCAGGCCTAGCCAGGACATTGTGACCATTTGGGGAATGAACTAGTGGATGAAAGTTCTCTTCTGCTCTCTGTGTTTTGCTGGCTTTCAATGAAAAATTGAATGAAGCTCTAGCAAAACAGATTGCTATCCCAATTCAGATGGCGGTGCTGGGATCTTTGTTAATAGAACTATTTATTCAACTGTTTATACCTTCATAACATCTTAAATTATGATACTGCTATTTAAAAAATATGACACCAGTGTCACCTGTTGTAGCTTGGAGTTAACATACTTGAAAGACAGTGCAGTGTTCCAAGTCAATCCATAATCAAACTGCTAAGTCATTTCTATTTTAAAAATTCTAGGTTTCGGAAAAAGAAGCAATAAATGTTAGGGTGGAGTATAGTGTTTTTGAAAAGGCTGAAGTTATGCTGTGTGTCAGTCATGGTGCTCCACACATTTTTTATGATAATATTATTTATTTATTGTAGAAATTGTAAACAGTAAAAAGAGGTATGAATAGGAAAGCAAACATTGTGTCAAATATCACTCCCCATTTTCCTCTTTTGTCTTCCTCAGCGTTTTCTAGAACACCTTCTTAGGTTCTACCCTTTGTGAAATTCCTAGATTCACTCTATGTGAAAGTGTGTAAATAACTTAAATAGTTTTGGGAATGATGTTTTCCACATTTTTGACAATCAGAATAAATTATGAATAGTTTTCCATTCCAAAGAAAAAAGGTACATAAGTGTAGTATTCACTATAATTTTGTTTATGTCTTTTTATGGATAGTTAGAAGTTTTCCTTTTTATATGTATAAATAAACATGTGTTAATTAAAAAAAACTTGTCAGATGTATTTTTATAAAGGGAATTATTAGTCAAGGGACATGCATATTTGTTGTTTTGTTGCAGTAGCCACATCAGAACTCAGAAAATTTTCATTCCCTCATGGTGTATGAGACTGCCTGAAAAAAGCTAAGTAATACAAAGAGTCCCCATAAGCTCCACACACAGCTTTTCCAGTGTTTACATATTAGGTTGTATCTGTCACAATCTATAAACCATACTCAACTTCTCGTATTTTTTTAATTCCAATTTCTTCCATCCCACCTTGCCCTCCCTGCCTCTAGTATTTATTCTTACTTTTACTTAATGTTGAATGATACACATTTTCTCTTTTTAGCAATTTGACATCATAGGGTCATATCTTTGTTTTAAATTTTCATTCTTTCATTGTACTCATGGATTCAAATATTATTAGCATGAGTAATTTTGCATTTATTCATGTCTGCAGCTTCCATTGTGGCCTAAGCCTTTTTCATTTTTTGCTTGATTGTTACTATTTTTCTTGTTTCAGTTGTTCCTCATATCTTGTTCTCCACAAAGTCATCGTTAGCATCTTGTTGAATGTCCAGTGAATCATGCCAGGCACCTGCTCCAAAGCCTTGGGATCTTAACATCCTGCAATAGTGCCCTGGCCCATAGCTGGTTGGCTTCTTCTCTCTATTCTCTTTCCTGTATCACACTGCTGGCTCCAGCCACGTTGGCTTCCATGTCTGTGTCTCTAGTTGCCTTTGCTCCTTCGTATGTATCACATCTTCTCTCAAGTGGTTTGCCTGTCAGATACTATTTTTACAACCTCCTTAATGGATGTGTCACTCTCTGAAACTCTCTTCTTTTTTCCCCATAGTAGGTATTCTTACCTAATATGGTACTTACCTCTCCATGTACTAATTGTCTTCTCCCTGGTGGAGCACGAACTCCAGGGCAGCAGAGATATTGCTGTATTCCCAGCATCAGAATAGCCTAGCATGTGGGGACATAAAGATTACAACGCAGATAGAACTGCCAAAACCTAACCTGATGAGTTAAATTTTAGCATGGCTGATTGAAAAGGGATTCTTTTTCTGCATTTTTATTGGAGTTGTTATCTTACTATATCTGTAAGATGATTGCTGTATCAAATTTATCCTTTTTTCATCTAAATGTCTGGTTTCAGACATTTTATCTGGCAGTATTCTAGTTCTAAGAGGTGAGTAGTCTGAATAATTTGACTATTGCCTCACTGTGGCATATTATACTTCCTGTCTTACAGTTTGCAATGCCATGTTTTCCTATATTTTAGTATATTTTATCCAGTGAGAGAAACCTACTTTTTTCTGGTTTATTGATTTATGTTAAATAGTACTTTGGAAATTCCATGGTTTACTCTGACTTTTAAGCATGTAAATCAGTATACCACAAAGTGACTTTGAATTATGCCCTTCAATTGTATACCACATATGTAATGAAAACTCATCAGTTATTTGTTTTGCTGGATTTGGAGAGCATAGTCCACTTTTAGTTATTTTTCTTTGTATTTGTGATCCTCATTATCTTGACATCCATGGTAGAACAAGATATACTGATTGGTGCCAAATGCTTTTATATTGATGCATAAGAAAAAAAGTGACTTGAATCAGCTTTTGCAGATGTTACTGGGGTTTTTGTTTTATTTTCTCTGTTTTTCTTTATTGTTCCATCTAGCTGGGCTTTTCCAGTGTTCCTTTTAATGAGTATATTGTTAGTTGTGACGTATCATGATGTTCACGAATGCTTGCTGCGTCCCTGCTACTTCATCGTTGGCAAATTCCTGAAACCTTTTCCATCTTAGTTTTTCCTTTGGGAAATGGTTCAGCAATAATGTTTAATTGGATTATTGTTAAAATTAAGTGAAATAAGCATGTACAGTATAGTGTTTGACATAAAATTATGAATTTTCTCAGGGGTTAATTTTTAAGTAAATATTCAGTTTTAATTAGGCGGGGGGAGAGTCAGCATTCAGGACTCTATTATTTGGTGCTACTTGGTAAAGTTGTCTTTTAACTCTCATCCTTGTCTATATCACAAAAGTTGTGTCAGCATTGTTGAAGCTTGGCCAGTGATAGAGGATGTTGGTCTTGATAATTTTCAGTGGGTTTTCAGATCAGTATTTTGAGATAATAGAAACAATTTCCTTTGCTATTTATCAAACACTCAATTAATATGGTGCTTTGACAGCACAATAATTTTTCTTCTGTGAATACAGAATACTACAATGGTGAAATAATCTCAGCAGAAGAAGCAAGATATTAATTAACCATCCTTCTTTGCTTTTTTGAAAAAAAAAAAGTTTATTTCTTTTTACTTTATGATAGAGGGACAGAGACAGAGAATGAGATGGAGACAGAGATTGTTCAACATGCCGGGTCAGTCAAGAGTCCAGAATCAAATTTAGGCCTCCCATTTGGATGGCAGCACCTGAACTTCTGAAGCCATCTGCAATTGTCAGGGAACAGAAATAGAGCCAGGTCTCTAAGCCAGGCATCCACCTAGTGTCTTAGTCATTGCACCAAATGCCACCCCCCAACACCTTTTGCATTTAAACATTGTGAACATGAGCTCCAGTAATTGCAGTGCCCAGCTGATTTTTGATCCTCCCGATTTAATGCTGCTTTTGCAGACCCACTCTGAAGAGAGACCTTTCCAGTGTGAAGAATGTAAAGCTTTGTTCCGGACTCCATTTTCCTTGCAGAGACACCTGCTAATACACAACAGTAAGTCGCAATTCCTGTGGATGAAACAGAAATATCACTCTTTGTTCATGATGATGCTTGACAATGTAGACATTTGAGAAGTGTACCTATAAGTGGTTATGTAAAGTATTTTTAAGTGTAAAAAGGACCAATAATTGTTTTTCAATTTTTTTTGCTTTATTTTTCCACACTAAGATAACTCATTTTATGAGACATGTCATTTCATATTATTTATTCATATTATTTAAAATTATTTTTTAAAACATTTCCAATATTTAGTAAGATATCTCCGAACTTTGTTTTGAAACAAATGTTTTGTTCCCTCTTATTTGCATTGTTTTGTTCCCTTTTTACTGCACTGATTAAGGAAACATGTCTGAGTCTTTAAAACTTGCACCTAGCTGCCGTAATTTTATTAGCTTACACACCTTTAATGTCGGAAAGGATCAGAGTGCACACCTCATTTCATGGTTTAATTTGAGGGGAATTGAGAACACTGAGTCTCCAAGAAGCCCAGAGCCTTCTGCGGGCCATGTCAGTGCTGCTGAGCAGCCTCTGATTCTCTGCGAGGCACTGTCCTACTTATCCTGTTTGCTCGTTTCATACTTCTTTTGTCAGAATTCTTTTCTTTCTTTTGGTTGAAGTTCTACCGAAGCATATATGACCATGTAACAGTTAAACAGAGATCTTTCTTTTCTTTTAAATAGAATTTATAGTCGCATACTGAAAGATACCACTTTATTGTGAACAAAAAGTTATGGCTGTGCTGAGTGATAAAATGAGGTCTCTGTTCAGAAGTTGAAGTAACCAGAGATTTACTATAGTATCATTATCTAGAATTAAAGACAAAAACATATAGATCCATAATACGTATATATTATATATATAATAACATATATAATTAATGGGGTTTTTTTACGTTTGAGTTACTTAATCAGTTGAAATCTTTTTCATAAATGAAACTTATGCTGCTGCTTAAAATTTTAATATTTCTGAAGGAAGCAAAGTGATTTATCAAGTTTGACAGTTGGCTGGACAGAGCAGTATCTTAGAAGAAATTTTCTCTCGTTGAGATGCAGTGTCTAACATGCAAAATAAGGCAGATATTAAGTTTTTCATAAACGCTGAGTGGTAGTGATGAAGATGAAATGCAGTCTGCTTCAGTAAAGAAAGATAGTGCTATGTGCACTTGCAATGTCACACTCACAGTCCTGGAGAGGCTGTTAGCACAGCTTTCCACTTTCCTATGGAGAGCAACTGTAGTTAAGAAATAAAATATGCTGTACAATAGCAGGAATTTTCATCCTATTTTGCTATCAATTTGATAAGGAAAAATAGCTCTTATGAAATGAATATATTCTAGGAAAAGAATTGCAAAGGTACTTCTGTCATACTATCAAAATATATGTAATTAAATCTTTACTTGGTAGTTTAATGGAAGGATTTGATGGGGGCAAATTTAGGTTTTTAAACAAAATGCTTTTCAGTATCTGAATAGATTGGGTATTATAAGCATTAACATTTACATTAATATATTAATGAATAACTTCACATATAGTTTCACTGATTATACATTTGTACAAATGTTTAAATATGTCTATAATAATATATATGTACTTTTTTGTATTCTCTAAAGACAAATTAGTTTATAAGAACAATACCCTACAATACAAATACTCAAAAATAAGAAATAAACAAAGGTCATAGAATTCACACAGTTCATACATGGTTTGTTGTGACTTTGTTTTAGACATGAAATGTCAACAATCCTCTCAGAGACTTTAAATCACAGCCATAAGTCTGCTACAAAATATAAAGGGAAAATAATTGCTCTTTCTCATTTATTCTCTTTCTTTAATCTGTCTCCTCCAGTTACCTCCCTCTGTCCTTTCCTCGCTTCTTTCCTTATTCAATATGGAAGGAGGAAATAATAGAATCTCCACATTTCTAAATTTATTTCAAGCTATAGTGAAAGGATGTTAGAAGAGCTTGTTTGACATTGAGATACTCTTACTCAGTTTAATATTTCGGTCTTCCTGTATTTTTGCCTACTAGTACCTTAAAATGTAAATCTTTGTTAATATGTTATTGTCCTCTAAAAAGGGAAAATTGTTTCAATACTAATTTTAATCACATAGCCAAGCACTGCATGTGTTTTATATGGACCTGGTATGATACACTGTCTCCTGATTGTGCAAGCTGTACTTAAAGCAGAAGACCGAGTTAGGCCTATGTGTTAGTAGCTAAAAGGATCATATTATGGGAAAGTTACAACTGAGCCTTGGGATGCAAAGTCACAGTCCCTGAAGTTACTTTCCCCTCAGGACCAGGCTATGGAATGAAAGGTCAACACTGGCACAGTTACTCAGGGGTTTTTGTTCTAGGTTGGAAAACAGAGGTGAGCATGTTTCTTTCCTCTGCCCCAAACGCCGCAGCCATCTCAGCACAGCCTGTAATCCATTTTTTGTGATAAAATGAAAAGTTGTTATCCAGCAGCCCAAAGGCTAAGTCAGAAGCCTGCAGGCAGGTTCCTCAAGTAATGCTGGGTCCCTCCTCCTCGGGCTTGTCCTGTATCCCCTGGCGGCTGTTGGACAGGATTTGAGGCCAGTGCTGAGTGCTGAAGGCACCCAAAGGAGGTTCATTTTCTTCATGGAGGCCTGTGACATTGCAAGATTCTAGTCACCCATAAGCCCGGCTCCTGCCCTTGAAATACACACTCCAAAATGCTCACGGGACCGTTAGAACATTACCAGACTCGATCTGTACATTTTAGACTGAGAATGTGGGATGGTTTAAGGTCTTGCCCCTGGTGACACAGTGTAGTAACAAAAATGGAACTGAAATTTGTTGGAAAAGATTAGTTTTATAACTGTGACAGATTGTTCGAACTGCAAAGCTAATTTTTTCACACAGTGTTCGATCTGGGTATGTGATGGGGGGGGGGGTTTAGATGAGCCTGCTTTAAAACTGATGCTTCTCTTACGGGAATTTCTGTTTGAAGGTGAGAGGACGTTCAAGTGCCCTCACTGTGATGCCACCTTTAAAAGGAAGGATACGTTAAATGTCCATGTTCAGGTGGTCCATGAAAGACATAAGAAATACAGATGTGAACTGTGCAATAAGGCATTTGTTACACCTTCAGTGCTTAGAAGTCATAAGAAAGTAAGTAGAGCCTTCTGCTAGTCTAAATGGATTATATATTTAACATATGGATATACATTTAATACATAATAATTTTATATACTCAGTGTGATAAATGCATGGTTTACATAATCTTGAGAACATGTCTATTTTCTCCATTTTTCAGTGAACTTTGTTTTTTTCCTTAGCTGTGATGATACCTGAGTCAATCAAAGTATGTTTATCAATTTTTTAAAAAAGGATTTATTTATTTTATTAGAAGTCAGATTTACAAAGAGGACAGACAGAGAGAATGATCTTCTGTCTGCTGGTTCACTCCCCAGGTGGCCACAACAGCCAGAGAGGAGTAATCTGAAGCCAAAAACTTTTTGGGGTCTCCCACATGGATAAAGGGTTCCAAGGCTTTGGGCCACCCACTACTGCTTTCCCAGGCCACAAGCAGGGAGCTGGATATGAAGTGCAGCAGCTGGGATCTGAACAGTCCATATGAGTTTATGGCGCATGCAGTGCTAGGATTTAGCCAGCAGGCTATTGCACTGGCCCATGTTTATCAATTTTAAGACATTTTGTGTTAAGGTTTTCTTCAAATGAAACATGAGAAATACCTTAACACCTTGGTTTTTTCACAGCTTGTCTGATGTTTATTACCAAGTTCTGAGTTTAAACCCTTCTAGAGTTGGAATACCTGTCACCTTTGCATCCTTAAGGCAAAAGGAAATTCTTGACGCAGAACAGAGACCTAAGTTTTTGTTTCGCTCTAATAAAATGAATCTACTTTTGCCATATGCTTGTAGGAACTCTCTCTTTTTTGCATATGCTAGTTGGGATAACTAGAGCAAATTAACAACTTATTTGTTACTTATTGAATAAGTGAACTCTAAGCACAATTTTGTAATACCAAAATATGATACTTTAAAAATGCAATTAGAGATTTTAATGTTACCTTTGAAAAGGAACTATGTCGTGTGATAACTTTCTGCCCTTTAGTGTGTGCTGTTGAATGTGTGCACACTGGTGACCCCTTCAATAGGACTTTTACTTTGGAAACTGTCCTTGATGTATGTTTCAAAAGAACTGTGTCTGAATACTTTTCTTGCATTTTGATGGTGGGTAATAATGATATTGTTCCCCTTTTAAACATTTTGAAAAGGATCATCTTTCAACAGTCTTCTTTTGGGTTACTTTTAAATGTCACTTCAGTGATTTTTTTTATTGTTTTTCAATAAATGAAGGGAAAACATCCTGAGTTTTCAAGAAAGATGTCGTTGTTCTCAGCACCTGACTGTTACGGAATATATTTGCATTACATTGTTCATTTCTCTCTCCTGTGTATATCCAAGTTGTCTTTTTACAGTGAGCTGTTGTCATACTTCTTGTTCTTGCTAAAAATAGTTTAGTCTTGTTCTTTGGTTGCTTTATTATATCTTAACAAATTATTTGCTTATAGGATGCACATTTTTGAGTTAACAGAAAGGGGCAGTTTAGCTGTTTTGATCATATTGTGTTAATATATAAGAAACTTGTATCACTGACAAGTATCTAAAGCAGTGGAAGTGAGCACTGAAATACTGTTTTAGTAAATAAAGAAAATCCCGTGGAGTGCAGATAAATTGGTAGTTCATTGTTTGGAGTAATTCATAGGTCTCTAAATCTCTAACCAGTCTTATACTAGTCAAGACACAATTGCTGTGTCAGAAAAAAAGATAGGTATATGTTAAAATATTAAGTCTTGTGGCCCGGGAAAGCAGTTGAGGATGCCCCAAAGCGTTGGGATCCTGCACCTGCGTGGGAGACCTGGAAGAAGCTCCTGACTCCTGGTATCAGATGGGCGCAGCTCCAGCCGTTGCGACCGCTTGGGGAGTGAATCAATGGACGGAAGCTCTTCCTCTCTCTCTGTCCTCCTCTCTACATATCTGAGTTTCCAATAAAAAATAAATAATTATTATAAATTATTATGAAGATTTGTATCTTTAAAAATATTAGGTCTTTTGCTGTGTATTGAACCATAATATGGGCCATGGGAGTAAAAGCACTGACTGGGGACTAAAGGTATATGTTGACTCTGCTATGTCAGAACTTAAAGTGAGAACACGAAGGTGAATGCCTGCCAAGTACAAACTCAGGGGAGTGTCTGTGGAGACCGCATTGGAGTGAAACATAGCAACTGATTAGATTGTGTTTTTCAGACTTGAAGTAAATCCTTTCTAGGGAGAGAAATTTTTAAGACCACTGTGGACAGTGTGTTTAGTTTATCAATTTAAAAAATTACAATATCATAGTATAGCCACAAGTTTGGATTATGCTACAAACACAGAATTTACAAATTAAATGTTATAAAGGCTTAACCCAGCTATACCTAAGTTAGCAATATGGAAACTAATACGGTAGATGGCAATTGTTTCTATGTTAGTGATTCTTAAAAGTTATTAGGTGGTAATGCAACAAGGTGGAGAAATCCACCATGGGGAGAGAGTTCGGGGAGGGTGGGGGGAATCCCAGTGCCTATAACACTGTGTCACATAACACAATACAATTAATTAAAAAAAGTTATTAGGTGACAAGATAACTGCTCTATGCCTTTTGCTCTATCCCAGTTTTTCCTTTCTAAGAGCATCCTAATTTTCCATATCAATTCACATGACACAGTTATTTCTCAGTTAAATGTATGAGTATAAATTATACACAGGAACTTGGAATTCAGTTCTGTGACATTTCAGGTGTCACACTTGGTGGTGTTATTCACTTTTGGGTTGTCATTGAAAATAATTCTAAGAAGAGATTCATAGTGAGTGTGCAGACACCCGAAGGAAGTGCCTTTTTCCAATCTTTTTCCCTCTGGTTTTGAGAAAGGGTGACACATGAAAATCTCTGCAACACTTCATTTATTGGCATAATCGCCTTTGATATTGATAGAAAACTGGTTTCCTCATGAGAGTGTGAAGCCACCTCTCTCCATGCCTTCTGGGGTGGCAACTGTTATTCCTCTGAACTCTCTGACAGTCAGTGAACTCACTGTTGATGATTCTTGCTCCCCTTTCCTGGTTTGATTGTTTATGCCTAGATTTGAGGTAAGTAGAGGGTAGAAATATTCTTTTACACTGCTCAGTTTACACCTGCTGATTTTAAAGATTAGTTCAGATTTATAATCCTTTTTGCTTTGCAGTAAAATCAGTCCAGACAGTCAAAACACAAGTAACAGATGACTTTATTAAGATTAATTCTGTCTTCAAGAGTTAAATACACACAAAGAATGTGAAAAATGCTTCAAAGGAAGTGTTTCTTGGCAGCCGTCAAGGGCAGCTGTAGACCCAGTTTGATTACGCGGTTTTGCTAACATACACTGGTTTTGTGTAACTTAATCATTTTTAGGTGGGAGCTCCATAAAGGCTTAAAAATAAACTGCAGAATTGTTTTCAAATTAACACTAATGCACTATTCTGAAGGTTTTTCGGGGGGAGCCAGTGGGAGTATTCATGATAAATTGTTTAAACTCTCATTGTGATATTAAATCATCTTGATGAAACATAATCCTGGAAAATAAGGATTTACTATTGTCAGAGGCACTTAATCATCTTTACTGGATTCTGTGCATTTAGCCTCAACTCTTTTTATTCCTTTCCATTTAGACACACACAGGAGAAAAGGAGAAAGTCTGCCCGTATTGTGGCCAGAAATTTGCCAGCAGCGGTACACTGAGAGTTCACATTCGGAGCCACACAGGTATGGGGACTGAAAATGACAATGAAAATAATGAACTAAAATTATGTTTTTCCAAGACGGGGGATACTGTAATGTTACAAAGTCATTCTCCAAGTTAGCAACTGGTCTTTGCTCCCTATCATTTAAAGTATTGTAAAACACAGCTGGTCCTTACTACAGAAGAAATGCAATGATGCTATTTTTTCCAAACTAAGGATAATATCCAAAATAGAAGTTATGTTTTGATTGTCTGTTTTGAAAAAGCAGTGGCTATCCTTTCATACAATTTTGGCGAGTGGAGGTGACACTTTCACTTTGTTTTGCTGGCGACAAGCCTTGCCATGAAGGCCTCCCCATAGCTCCTATCATATGCGGCCTCTAATATTTAAGGTCTGCAGAATGTGATTTGAATCCTGCAGGATTTTTTTTTAGACCTAAGAGTGGTATGAATGCAGTATCTGTCAGAGCATGAATGGCTTCCCAAAGACTCCCTTCCTTTTCTTGCTAGTTTCCATGTAAGTTCTCCAATGAAAGAGGCTGTGTGAACAACTCAATATTTTTGAAACAACCTAGTGTGAAGTTTATGTATCGTGTAGATAAGTAATTGGGAAGCCTTGGATGAACGCTCTTAATTATGATAACCAGATGATTTTTGCATTAGTCTGAAATGTTGTTTCACATTTGCTGGAACGTACTTGTATGATTAACTCTCTAACTGAATTATTCGATCTGAAGCTTACTGGTCAAAGACTGATGATTTTATTTATCATAGTAACCCCAGCACCTACTGCGGTGTCTACCATAATAACTTTGTTGTGAATGAAAGAAAAAAAAAATTTGGATTCTGTTCTAAGTAGATCAGAGAATCAGTTAAAAGAGGAAGAGCAAGAGTCAGGCATAGTTTTTTTTGAGTTTTTCTATCCAAAGCTCAGAAGAAAAAACACTCAGCTAATAGAGTTTATCTATTTGTTTTAGTTTTTATTTTTCATGTTACAGTTCCTTAGGCTCAGAGATTCCCCCTTTCATCCTCTCATCTCCCTCCCCCATCTCTTCCCCTATATTAGAGCAGTAGCCCTTCAACAGTCACACATCCATCATTCCTCAGTTAAAGTGTATCAGGGAATTGTAGGTATAGACAATGATAGAAAGTCCAGCATCCTTTTGTCAAGACATATTTAACAATTTCAGTAGGGGTCCATCTTTTGTGCAGAAGTGGAGGTGCATAACCAGTTAAACGTCTAAAAGTTAAATGCACATGTGATGACTATGGAATAATGAATGCTCTGAAAGAGGACAAAATGTCTTACTTAGAAGTTTTCTAGAGAGAGAGGCTATCAGGCTGCCTTCTAGAATGCAGCCAAAAGAACAGTAGAGAAGCAAAAGGAAGTGAGCAGCTGAGATCCATCTTAGAAGTACATTGCTCATGGCTGCTAACATGTGCTCATTGCACACAAGCAGCAAGTAATTGATGAAGAGGGGGATAGACAGATCTTTAGTCTGAGACCAGCTGCTGCAATATTTTGATGTTGCTATCATCTAATATCTCTTTTTTATGGGCTGGAAGGAGCTGGGGTGTGGGAAGGGCAGTTGGGATGGCATAAAGGCCATCAACAGTATTCAATTCTATATCAGCGATTCTCAGATTAATAATGCCAGACTGAAAATGTTACTTAGAGTTGTCTGCTTGTGTATATAATTTGTATACAGGAAAATAGCAAGACATGGAATAGGGAAAATAACTATCTGCATATCAAGTAATAGGTTAATAATAATGCTGTGATTTGTCATGATATAATTCAATTATATTCGATGTAATATGTCTCCAAAAGTCCATGTTAAAGCATAGGTTCCAAACGTATGAACCTAATCAAGTAAAGCACTTAATTATTGGAACATTTGCAACCTTGAGAATTCTGTGTGCTTTCCTTTTATTTGCCTCATGGACAGGATGGGCAGTTGGGAAGAGCTAGTAATCAGTCCCAAAATTTTTAGTTATTGTTGCCCTTTATAAAGTTACAATAAGGGGTTGTAAAAAAAATCTTTCTGATAAAAGCTATAAACATTTGTTTACATCATTTTGTATTATGCATAATCTGAAACATATGAAAACCAGATCATTCTGCATAAAATTCGTTTATTTATTGTGATGCTGAATCTCTTCGATATGTATGGTTCTGGCCTATGTTATATGCTTTCTGTTCAAGGGAACTAGCTGACCATCCACATACATACTGCCATGCCCAAACATTTTCAAATGGGAGTGGGATCCAATGCAATGGGGACTCTTAGATGCAATTGAGGATCCTGCAAAGCTTTGTATGTTATTTGTATCTACATCTGTTTACCATATTAGAAATTAAACTTGTTATAAAACTTATAAATATTTAGCTGTTAATTTGTTTAAAAAATAAGCATAATAAACCCACCACATGGCAAACTACTGCTATTTTTCAAACTAGGAGTCATTTAATAATAAACTAATTATATATAAAAATTTTTATGGACGATAATTGCATTTTTCAAGCCAGAAATCACTTGGAAGATGGAGACATCGTCGTATTTCTGAATGCCTTTACTGTCTGGGACAGGAAGAGACACCTGGATTCTAGTGTCTGTTTTCATTCATTCTGATGCAATGTGTTCTTTTGGTTGCAGATATGTGGGTAAAAGAGAAAGCAAGTTTACAATCCTTGTAAAATTGGATATTTGTTTGTACACTAAAGGTTAAAGAATTTTTTAAGGTCTGTTGTTTGGGAACCACAGTGGCTTGAGCTTTTTTCTATTGTGCCACATTAAAATCAGTTGTTCTGCGTTGCCCTTTCAGTGTTACCCACAAATGAATCTGTGACACAGTGCACAGGTAATTAGGAAAACAATGGTTCAATGGGTTCTATGGAGCTTCCACAAGCTTTGCTTAGCTCGTTACACAGCCCGTACGTAGAGAAGCTGGCGAGTATGTGATAGCAAAGATAGATCTTCCACAATTGGAAATTCTGCCCTTCTTGTATATACTGGGAAATACTGTCATTTCTTTATTTGTTTTAGAAGCTACCAAGTACCTGGTAGCAGGTAAAGTCTTTAAAATTCTAACTCTTGTCCAATTGTTTTAATTTTGTATTTGTTTTTTGAAAATGCTGTCATTTCTTCCTTTTTCTAAATGACAAGTTCATTGTCTGAAAAATAACCATATACCCAGTTTTAGCGACCATGCTTGATCATTTTGTTTGATGTAAAAACGATGTTTCATGAAAAAATCTGCCACTTCAGCTCAAAACTCAACTAAATAAGTCCTTTTCATACTTCACTGTATTACAGATGCTTCATATCATTGCCTATTTTATTAAAAGAAAATTTAAAAGATGGTATCTAGGCATTAGGGTTTAGTAAAGCTAATAATTTTTACTTTATCACAGATGTTCTTGAACGAAACTTCTGTGAGTGCATGGCCGTGAAGCCTGAATGATGAGTATTACAGTTTGCCAAAAAGAAGTAGCAAACAACAAAACTTGACAACAGTGATTTTACTGTTACTTTGTGCTGGTAGAGTGAGTATTATTATGACAGTAATTTGACCTTGTAGACCTTCTGAATGAGTCTTGAGCATGCCCTGGAGTACACAAACCATAGTTTGATCTAGAAAAAGATTCTGTCCCCAACCTTCCCCGTGTGTGTGTGTCTCTATGTGTGTGTGCACACACATTTGGTGGTGGACCTGGTGGATGAGCCAGAGAGGAATGTGTTGGGCAATATAAAGAAGTACCCGTTTGCCAGAGGCATTCTATTTATTTGGAGCCATTTTTCTCCATGGAGCGCTCAGATGGACAGGTTTTCAAAACAGTTCCTAGCTATGACTTTGTTCACAATAATTCCTTGAAGTTTTGCCAATGTTAATGATGAAGTATGTTAGTGTCCAGTGTCACTGTGTTTTGCTGGAATGTAAATTTCAAAACGCCAGTTGGCAATTACAAAGTTTGGCCATTCTGACTACTTTTATTTAAGAAAAACATTATTGCATTATTGGGCTGATAATGATCTCTTCATTACTGTGTTTAGAAACAACAGACTTTTAAAATTTGGACACATTTGGATTATACTACAGGACATGCCCTTAAAATTTATTTGCAGATAGCCAAAGATAGAAATTTTCGAAAGAAGCATTCTGTTCTTAAGCCATTTACTGATAGTTTTAAACTATTTAGTCAGAAATAAGGGGACTGAGCTATAATCAGATTGAATAACTTTCCTCACCAATAGAGTTGCCTGTTTTGCAGAGGTAGGCCCCAGTATGTTTCCTTCTCTGCATGCCTCTGCCACAGGAGTGAGCCTTGTACTGATGGAGAGAGCAGGAGCTTTGGACAAAACTCAGTTGAGTTCATATCTCTGTCCCCACCACTCACTGGCTGTAAACCTTTGGGTGAATTATTACTTCTGTAAGCCCTCTTTTATCTTTTGCAAGTTCTTTGAGAAGAATGAATTATGTCTGTAAAATATTTACTGCTGTTTCATCATGGATGGTCAATTACTTCTCAGTTAATTTCTAAAATCGTTCTGTAGTATCACTGCTTGTTGAGACTACTTTGCCAAGTTAAATGAATTTTGTTCATGAATATTGTGTAACAAGGCTTTAAGTCATTTCTTATGTGCTAGTTTTCCTTGGATGATTTATTGATTTATTTATTTTAGGATATAGGACTGAGAATTTTCATTTTTCATGCCTTCCTTTTTCCCCAACTTGATCAAGATCTCAAACTGTGAAATAGCTACACTTTTCTTGAATCAATATTATAAGCAAGGTCTTACTGGATCATTGGTAAAAAATTGATTTAATTCCACAGTATTTATCAAAGTTATGATCATGGAATTGTTTATTCACTTGGTAGATGGCTATGTTCTTGAGTAATTGCCTTATTTTAAAAAAGAAGAGCTTAGTTGAAAAATCATTTTGGATGGTGTTTTGAATTGTGAACTATGTGTGTCACACTAATTTATTTCTTGAAATTAAATATGGTGACCTGTAAAAA